GTTCAGCAGAGAGTTTTGGCAAGGCAAGGTTGGAGAAGCTGGAAGTTACCTTTGATTTTCTCCTCTGAAACAAGAGCTCATCCCATTTTACATGGAAAACTGTAGCGTGAAAAAGGAAAAGAAACATTTCTGATAAAGATTCTACTGATCTCCAAACTATGTGTCCATTTTGAGGGGTTTTGCTTCCTTTTGTTTGTTCACAAATTAAAAAGTCCCATGGGTTTGACTTTTCTTACCCTTGATGCTGAAAGTACGTGGCATGGGGAGAAAGTGGCAAGACTCTGGTTGATCTGCCAGAGCTTTGCCATGCTCCAGGCTCTGGGGCTGTGCTGCTGCTGTGGTGCTCCCTTCCACAGAGCTTCACAGGGTTTTATAGCTTTTCCCCTTCTCCATTTCTTTCAGGGGCGTGTTGTCTTCAAGCAGTGACTGAAGGGGAAGGTGCTTCCGAGAACCATGATGTCCCTGGGAGTCACCAAAGGTAATTCCTTTCCCCATCCCGGGCTGCTGGGCATCTGTCTGCTGTCATGGCTTTGCTTTGCTGTATGTGTCTCTGCTCAACTCCTTCAGTGCAGTGTGTCCAAGGGAGGGGACACCTCTTCCGTAGCTGGGACCTGCTCCAACCTGAGCTTCAAAATGACAATGTGTTTGGCTACAATTTCAGTAGCCATGAAGGCAGAGAAAGCTGGAGAGCTTAGAACCTGGCTGAGGTTTTGAGCCAAGACCACCCTTCTGCTGTGTCCAGTAGCCAGGCTGCAATGAGAACACTGCCTTTATTACTGATAAACTCTTAATAATGTGCTATCATCAGAGGAATGTGAAACAAATTGTACTGGGGGTGCCAGGCTGCTCTGAGTGGTCCCAGGGACATCCCCACGCTGCAGAACTCTGTCGCAGACTTAGATTTAATTTTAAGCAACATGCTCACAGGACTTAGGTTAAATAGATGGGATGCTGCTTCCAAATCCAGAGGTAACCCGAAACAGTAACAGGGAGAGGAGTGGAAATGCTTTATGTCCATTAGTAATACATTTCATTTGCAGTTGTCTTTGGTCATCCTGAGAGAAAATGACTTCTTAATGTTAAACAGGGCTCTGAAAGGAGAGAAAAACCTGTGTGAACCTCTGCAGAGGAGGTGAGGCAGCAGGGCCAGTCCTTCCTGCACCCTGGTTGACCACTCGTCTCAATCCTTCATCAGAAAGGGCAAAAGACTCACTCAGTGTTTGAGTCTCTGACTGCTCCCTGAGCCCTCCCCCAGCTCACCTGCTGACAGTGCTAATCCTTCCCTCTCTCAGCAATCCTCCTCATTCCTTCCTTTCCCTCTGCCTCTCCCAGGACGTGCCCTTCCTCCCACGGATGAAGACCGCAGGAGGATCATTAAGCAGATGAAGGTTCGCACCACCCTGAAAGGAGATAAGAGCTGGATCCACCACCACAACTCGGACTCTGAGGATGAGAAGAGCAGCAGCACACTGTAAGTGTGGCCAGTGAGGAATGCTCCTCTTCTCACTTCCCTTTCCCACATCAGCCTCCCCTGAGGACTCTGTTCTTCAGCCTACAGAAGCAGCACATGTGCTGCTAGCATCTTTTGGGGTCTCCATGATGCCAAGAAATGTCACTGCCAGAGGGAAGTGGTGCTCCTGCTTATTTCTTGATAAGTGCAGGCTGGCGAGAAGCTCTGAGAAATGCCCTTTCCTGGGAGCTGGAATCCAGCAGCACAGGCAGGCTTCATGTCTTTGGGAAAACTCCAAAGTTCTTTGAGGCCAGACTGTGTTTCACCATCTCCAGGGTGACAAAGGCTGGAGCAGACCTTGATGGGAGGGAGTTTAAGTGATAAAACAGCCAGGTCTGCATCTCCCCCTGCAGCTCACAGGGCTGTGTAACACAGCAACCCTTGTAGCAGGGAACACAACCTGCACCAGCTCCTCTTTGATTAGAAACAAATCCAAGCCCAAATCGGTCTTCTCTCAGCAACTCTCTCCAAAAACACAGAATCACAGAATCATAGAATGGTTTGTGTTGGGAGGAACCTTAAAGCTCCTCCAGCTCCAACCCCTGCCACGGGCAGGGACACCTTCCACTAGAGCAGGTTGCTCCAAGCCCCTGTGTCCAACCTGGCCTTGAACACTGCCAGGGATGGGGCAGCCACAGCTTCGCTGGGCACCCTGTGCCAGCGCCTCAGCACCCTCACAGGGAAGAGCTTCTGCCTCAGAGCTCATCTCAGTTTCCCCTCTGGCAGGTTAAAGCCATTCCCCCATCCACTGATGTCCAACATCATTGCCATGTTCAGTGAGGCAGCTCAGCAAGACCAGAAGTTACTTATGTCTCTGTGTTTTCTCTTTGCTCAGGTCCGGACGTGCTGGTGGGGGACCCGCAGCCCCAGCTGCCAGTGCCGCCCAGGGCGACAGGTAATTCTGGGGACCCATCCTGTTGCTCTCTGACTGCGTTATCTCATAGGGTCAGTGCACGCTTTCACTGGTTCTTCACAAACCTGTGCTCTTTCTTCACCTCCTCATAGCCACTCACTGCTGTGACTGATGAAAAATAGCCCTTGAGGAGAGCCTGCATTGTTCAGTGTAATGTCCTGCAGTTCTGTGTGCAGAGCTCAGGTATCACAGCCCAGTTAGCTGGATTTTTAGCTTGATGGCCACATAGACATTTCCTTTTAATCCTAGTGCTGGTGCTGCTGCTTTCCCTGTGTTTCTTTACTCACTGGTGTCTCTCTTTGCACAGGTCTGCTCCCTCCAAGCCTCAGTCCGGTTACCTCATCAGGTCAGTATAAAGTGGGATGTATTTGGGCTGCAGGGGAAAGAGAACTAGGTCAGGAGCAGCAAACATGAAAAATATTACTATGTCTTGGGTTCTTCTGTTAGGAACATTACAATGCTCAGGGAATACCTTGGTGAAGAGAGAGTGTTTCCTTTAAGAGGTAGCTTGATGGTGATGTTAACATAGTCTCAGATCTCCTCTGTGTGATACAGTGATCATTACCTTCCAACAGGACACACAGACACTGTTAGGCCATGGAATGGTGGCTGCAAGTCTCTTAATTTGAGTTCCAAACTGTCCAGCAAAACAATGTAACGTGTCTCTTTTCTCCCCAGAGGCGTGTTCACAAAAACCATTGATAAGACCTCTTCTGTGCCAGATTCTTCATCTTCTAATGAAGCACAAAAAAGGTGCGTGTGTGTCTTGGAGCAGCACCATCCCACAGAGGGTTTGCCCATACTGACAACTCCCAGTGGCCCTGGGGAAGCAAAGCAGACCTCAAATCCTAGTCCAAGCCTGTGCAAAGGAGGCAAATGCTGCCCTTTAGTTAAACAGCATTCCCTGAGTTCAGAGAGTGGATATTCGGGATCATCCTGTTTTCCCCATCACATGGAGCATGGGCTTACGTGGGGAAGAGGGAGGTGAAGGGTGAGAGCTGGGAAGGGTCATGTTAACATGTGGTTTGTGCATCTGCAGTACCACCACGAAGCGACCCAGCTTGTGCCGCTCCTCCTCTGGCTACAGGATGACCACTGAGGACTACAAGAAGCTGTGAGTGTGCCAAGGGGAGCACCATTCTGCCTGTGCCAGGCTCAGCAGCACCTGAGCCTCAGTGGTGAGGCCACCTGCATGTGGATGCCCATGTGCGGAATACCCAGACATGGCTTCATCAGCCAAACACTGCAGAGCTTCACTAGAAACTGAAGCAGTTCCCAGTGCTCCCTCCAGGCCTGGCTGGGCATCAGGGCTCCCTCAAACTGGTAATAGCCTTTGTGCAGAGTGAGTTTTATCACTAGGTAGTAGTTAAGGCAGAAGCTGGGGGATGCAGCCTGGGGGCTTGGTTTGCAGTATGCTGACCTTTCTGCAGCCAGGGGAAAGGAGGGTCCTTGTGACAGAGCAGCACTGCTGATATTTCCTACACAGCTTTTCCTGCCAAAGACCCTGGCTCTAATCTGGAATGCAGCTGAGCATTTATGATGAACCAGCCTCTAGGCTTAACCCATAGACTAAAAAACCAAAATCCTATGGGGACACAGGCATGGAAAATACAAGTGTCTTCCACACTTGTGTGCAACACTTCCAGGGTCTGAACCCACTGCCACGTGCCCTGTCCTTGGATCTACCTTGGGTTTCTACAGAGGCAGTTCCCTTACCCTGGCTCTCCCCTTTCTGTTTCAGAGCTCCATATAATGTTAAGCAAAAATCAGTGGACTTGGATGAAGAGGATGTGCCTTTTACTCCAGATGAACACAAAAAGAGGTATGTCCTCAGGTAACCACCTTCTGCTTGCAGGGGCAGTGACAAGTGGACTTCAGTTTAACTGTTACTGGGAGGGTCAGTTTGATGATTGCAGCTGAGCTATTAGGGCTTATTGCAATATGACAATGGTAAGCAGATATTTCTACCCAGAGCACAGCTATGCCCATGGGTGACTGCACTCCCAACCACATGTAATTAAAAGCCTGACATGATTCAACCTGACAGCATACCCCAATTAATCTGGCAGCTTGGAAATGGGTTGTGGAATCCATCAGCCGCATAGCGTGTATGTGGAAAGATAGAGACTACAACCAGGCTGGCAGCGAGGGGAGGAACCACCTTCCACAGCCCACATGTGTGCCACTGAGTCTGGACCACAGGGGGACTTGCACCTGAGTGCAGATCCAGACAGGTCTCTTGTTCTCACACCAGGAGTAGAAAGTGTTTTGTCTGTGTGGTGGATCTGCATCGATGCAGCAGAGTCTCTGTTGCTTTTGATCAAGTTTCTGAAGATACTTTTCCTCAGATACAAGGCTTTTACAAATGAAAACTTGGTTACTTGCCCACAGCACAAGTCCTTTCATGGATCTGCACCTCTCCCTTGGCACAGCTGGTGGTACTGATGTGTGTAAGACATGTGCAGTCCATGTAAAATGTCAGCCCCAATGCCTGCGTCCCATTTTTTGGTCCCATGGTGTGCAATATTAACAGTCCAGGTCTTCAAAAGGAGAACTCTCTGCACCCTCCTGGAAGAGGAAGGGTTGTTTCTCCTACTTTACAACCACGTGCAAGTGCTGTGGCCAAGCATCGACGATACTAAAGAAAAAGATCAGATGTTGTTACTCCTTTCAGCTCTGGCTGGATTTCTGCTCCGCAGAGCAGGACTGGCATGTGGGTTGTTCACCTCGTGTCTC